CATGCCAATGCATTAAGTAGACTCTGGACATTTATATCTTGGTGCTTTGGAGGTCATGAGTCACCTGCTAGCTTTGTAGGGTCTAAGTGTTGTAAATTTTCAGGCTAGCATATCTCTTGGACCTGTTGAAGACTAACTGTCACAACTTAAAACTTTAATCTGATCTTTGCCAGATTTTGGCTTTAATCCTCGGATGTGTTTGAATCAGTCCATATCATCACTGCCTGTCTAAGTTTGGACTCTGGTTGGTATGTATGACCAGTTGTAGTTTGGACTTTGTGCTGACATTGAATCATTGGTTTCAATTTTGTTTGGACACAAGGTTGGTTTTGAAGAACACAATCTCACCAATTTGCAATTCATATGCAAATTTCTCATTCTAGTTGTTTTTGATCCAATTTTCTGTTGAGATTCTTCCCATAGCATGTTTACAACATGCTCAGACCATCACTTGCTCTAGATGCATCTGTTTTGAACTTTTGAGTTGCAAAATGCATTTCAAGCTCCATTATGCGTGAGCCATCGAATTTCTTTGTGTGTATATTATTTGAGAAAACCAAATGTACGACTGTGTTCCTTGTGAAAAATTAGTCAAGTTAGACTAAAGTTTTGCTCATTTTGGTTGAGATTTAAGAGAATTGCGTCGAAAACGCCTTTTTGAATTTCTTGCCTTGGCCTTGCCTAGTTTGCCCAGTCATTCTGCTTGTTTTGGTTTATATGTTTATGGGGTGGCATCAATACACGGATGTATCGCCACCCCAATGGTTAAATGCAATGCCTTAAGTCACTTGTCATGCCTATGATCCTCTGTTCGATCCCCAGCGGGGACATGTTTTTGCTCTTTTGTGATTTTCCCATATTTATTATTTCTTTTTTATTTTCCATTTGTTTTCAAATCTGTTTGATGATAGGGATGGTCATATTTTGAGCCTATGACCCCAAGGTCTTCGGTTCAATCCTTGGGGGAGGCGTTTCTTATTTTGTTTAGCACTATTTTATTTAACTTCATTTAAATTTCAATTTACCATAACTTCTTTATTTTTAATCATTTTAATTTGATTCTTTTTGCTAATTTTTCATGTTGACGTGTATTTTCATATAATTTTCAAACTGATTCACCTTTAAAACTGTTGACTATCACTTTGAGGTCTTGAACTTTTTGTCTACTTTATTGAGACACTGTTTGATGTTATCCTTTACCTTTAACCTTTATCCTAACCTTAGGATTAGAGTCGTCGTGCTCTATTTAGCGTCCCGCCGTGGACATCCTTATCCGTTATCCTAACCTTAGGATTGGAGTCTATGTGCTCTATTTAGCGTCCCGCCGTGGACAATTTATCCCTTTATCTTAACCTTAGGATTTGAGTCGTCGTGCTCACTTTTAGCGTCCTGCCGTTGACATCCTTTATCCAGTTATCCTAACCTTATGATTGGAGTCACCGTGCTCTATTTAGCGTTCCACCATGGACATCTTTACCCTTTATCTTAGCCTTAGAATCTGAGTCGCCGTACTCATGTTTAGCGTCCCGCTGTGGACATTCTCTACCATAACAATCTCAATGTAGATTCAGGAGTCGCCGTACTCCATGTAAGTACTTCCCTATGAATGCTTACATCCCCTGGAACCTTGACCACAATCAAGAGTTCCTCACCCCTAGTTAGGGGAACTACGGTTGCTCTGATTCCATTCCTGTCAGGATACGTAGGCACGAGATGCGATGTCTTGGTGAGCATACTTAGTGTATATACTTTATATCTTTACCTTAGCACTTTTTCCTTTAGCAAGCAACTTTTAGCATAACACAAATACTAACAAGAGGTTCCTGTAGAGTACTAGAGATACTTAGGATGCTAACACCTTCCCTAGGTATAACCAACCCCCGAACCTTTAGATCTCTCTTTGCTTAGCTTTAAGCCTTGCTTTTTGCTTTGCATTTTAATATGATTTTTCTTTCTTTAACCTTTCCTTTTTGGATAAATTAAAGTCTGATTGTGAATTTAAGAATTAAAGATTCAAGTTAATCAATAGCTTAGTATCACGATTCTCACCACAACAGACCTGCTAAGAGAATAACTATGTTCGCGACTCTTGCTGCATCGAAGAAAGTGCCTGTGCCGACTAAGATGCTCTTTGTGACGCCTTTATGAAGGCCTGGCCTTCTTGGATGCTGGAGAATGCTTGGACCTCCAGTGAGGGGTACAATTTCTTCTTGTGATCTCATGCCCATGTTTCCTCGACTTTGATCGTTCTTTGACTGGGAAGATGCTTTGAGACTCGTCTCGTCGACGTTTCTGAGGAGGGAACGAGGCCGGGAAGAAGGACTGAGGGATCTCCACGGGGGATGCCTTTCTTCGAGGGTGTTTTCCAGCATTTGGATCTTCTCTCCTTACTGGAAGAGCAAGTAGTTGGATTTGTTGAGGGCGGCGATGAGGGTCACAGTGCAAGGGTCAACATCTTGAGGAACGAGGATAAACTCGTAGATATGGTCGAAACTCTGGACACGGGGCTTCACATTGTTGGAGGATGGATAGACAGTCTTTCTATCCTTGCGATCGGCCTCGCAGGCAGCAGCTCCGGGATTTAGGGCTTCGCCGTTACCCAGGGTGACGACGAGGATAAAATCTTGATGAATGTCATTGTAATGGTGAAAGGCCATGACGATGAAGGTTGAGATAAAAAAGCTTTGGTCTTTGGTTTGAAAAGATTGGGGATCTTAGTTCAAAAAAGACTGGGGAGATGGGTTCTCACAGACAGCGCCATTGATCTGGAGTGATCAGAATGGATCGTCGTGGCCTTCAATGTAGGACAACAATAGTGGTTGTAGGAGAGGAGGGGTGTACCTGCAAGGTACTCTAATACCAAAGTAAGTTTTTAGGTTAGAGAGAGAGCAAGTACAAGTGTTTAGGTATGAGTTAGAATGATTAGAATACCTAACTCTCTCAAGAGTTAGGGTATTTATGAGATTCCTCCAGCGCAGGGCCAAGATTTCCCATGTGGTCGAAATACTTGGTCAACCAATGCGAGACTGACAGGTGGAAGATCTAGCACGTGATCTTTAACCTAGTCCAATTTCCCTCGTGAATTTCGGAGGGCAAGTTGATCGCGTGAACTGTCAAGCGTGAGAGGGAGATGTTCCCAACGACTATATTCTCCAATGGTCATATTGTGTCCAACAGCTATGTTGTGCCCAACGGCTATGTTGCCTTAGTCTTCTTATTGGGTTGTGCCTAAAGCTGGCCTAGATTGGACTTTGCCCAACTGTGGGCTATGTGTCAATCCAGTTCAGAACAGAATCTTTGTAACAGAGATCAAATCAACTTATATACAGATACATCTATTTCTAGTTAAATGTGTAAAGAAATTTTAATGTGAAAATCATATTTAAACTCAAACTATAAATTTTAATTTCAAGTAGAATTAATTCAAGAGGTAGAATTAATTAAAAATCAAATATTTTAAAATCATTTCAAAATAAATTCTACACCTTTAAAAATAATATTTTTGTCTCTGATGCTTCAATCAAGAAAAATTTGTTTTGTAAATTTTAAATTCATAAAAATTTAGTTAATTTCTTTAACACAATTTTCCATTTTTTATATTTTTAAACTTTCTAAAAGATATTAATTTATACTCTTAAAGACACAAGATAGCTAATCCCTTAAACATTAACAATTTTTTCTATTATATTTTCGATTTTTTATTCTCCTCTCCACTCTTCTTTTAATTTTATTTTTAACATTATTAAAAAAAATAGTTTTATAAAATAATAAATAATTTCTTTTTTCTATATAAAATAAGAATATGTTTTCATTTCTAAGATAACCAAAACCTCTTATATGAAATTTTGATTTCAGACTCTCTGTCCTAGAAACGTTTCCGTTTATTTTAAAAGTAAAATTAAATAATCAATAGTGTCAAGACCAAAGAAAAGGACCTGCAGGTTTGATATAATAATTATTGTGAGGCCAAAAATGTAGCAGCATAATAAATCTGACGGTGGAAGAGAAAACAGAAGAAAGCATTACCATGCCAGCTATTATGCAAGCGGTGTAAAGGACAAAGTGACAGCGACGGACAGACAAATAAAAAATTGAATAGAATAATACTACAATACAATATAAAAAAAAATACACAAGTGCACAAAACGTTCCGTTCCGTTCGCCAATGTCTCCAAACCAAACCACTCTTCCCTCAGAGTGCCCGCAAACTTAGCTTCCCTGCCAACAAAATCCATATACCTTAACTTAGCTTCCCTCGTTGGATCGTTTGTTTTCATGCCTCTGCCGACTAAATTAGATACTTCATGTGAATCATGTCTCTTGCCCAATTGCTTAGAATTCCTTTTCACCCTAACTTATTTCAGACGTTCAGACGTGGACAGCTAAGCTAAACTATCCACCATACGTGTCTTCCACTTCCACCATAGATATAATAAATAAAATTGAGAGTATCTTTCTTTGTTCCCTTTCGCAAAATGCCACTTCCCAACATACACAAATTCAACAGATAAAACACTAAAATCAATGAAAGGCCAGTGCCTACTACTGCCTTGCCAGACACCACTAGCCAGTACTCTAAATAAGAAATCAAATTAAAAGCACTTAGTTTTCTTCTTCATTCATATTGATGGATAAGCTTAAACAAATTCAACACATAATTGTCACAATTCTAGTACATTATTATGATTATTACATGAAACCTCACTTGTGTACAACAAAAATCACCAACCAAGAACCAAGAACTAGAAGAATCATCTTCATCTAATTATTTTTCAATGCAGGAAACTAATCAAATAACAGACTAAAGGGTTTGTTTATATGAACAAGTACTGAGAAATAATGACTAAATATAACTATCTGGTTAATAATCTCATTTCATCAACACAAAAAAATTAACCAAAATAATGAGAATTCAATGAAATCAAAGATTACATAGAGTTGAAAAAATCTAGCTTTTTCTGCAGAGAAACATTAACCATTTACCGTTGTGTCTTGTCTTTCTACGATGATTCATGAATGTGTCCATGTCCGTGTCCATATCCATACAAATCGAACGGTGCCCAAAGAGCATCAAGAGGACAAGGGTTTCTAGAATCAAGCCGAATCCATGGTTTACCACTCCCAGACCAATGCAGCAAACTAACAGGACCAGCATGCAAATCTCTGCAACTACCCTTCACATTATCACCACCCAAACCGTGTTGATTCCACCGGTGTTCAATCCCCGCCACGTGTCCTGCAAAAACCAGCAAAAACGGTGGCAGAGAACCAAGCTCATAGATCCTTTCACTCTTCTGAATCTCCATCCATTTTTCTATCTTCTTCGTGTACCCTTCTTTCCTCCACCGCACCAGATCCATAACCATCACTCCAGTATTAAAGTAACAAACCTTCCTCCTCTCAAACGTCGCCGCAAAAGCCGGCTCCGCCCAAAACCCCGCCGTAAAATACTTGGTGAAGTTCGCATGACAATACTCCGGCGCCCCAATTGTTTTCACCCCCAAATCAGTACTCCACAACTTCGCAACATCATCCACAACAACAAGATCTGAATCCAAATAAATCACTCTCCTCACACAACTCTCCAACAGATCCGCCAGATAATTCCTCGCGTAATTCAACGGTTGCTCCAACGCTTGCCTCACCGAACTCGAAATCAAATTCTTAACAACACTCGGATCGAAGTAATAAACCTTGAATTTCAACTGCGGGAAAGTCGACTGAACCAACGCCTCCAGATTCGTGTCTGTCACAAGGAAGTGAAAGAAAATACTCTCCGGACAAAAAGCGTGACGCAGAATCGAATGAACCGCCGCGATTGAACCGCGTAGGTAGTCAATATCTAAGGTTATCGCAACATGAACCAAACTAGGGTCACAAACACTGATTTCATCTGAAACCGAATCACATTCATCAGCATTATAAAAAGAAGGTGAATTCCGAAACGAGAATCGGTAATCGTGAGGGATATGGTAGGAAGATCGAATTGCTTCAGCGGGAGGATAGGATTGAAGGGAAGGAGAGAGAAAGATTACCAACATTGCGGCGGAGAAAAACCGTGAGAATTTTATAATCCACTGCATTTTTTTTCAACCACCGCAAAAATAAAAATAAAAATAAAAACGATAACCCTCCTACTCCAGAAAATGAAATTTATGAGTATATATAAGGAAATAATGAAATGGTTTAATGTGATTTCTATTTTCTAGGGTTTCCTTACAGAAATAGGGAAGAAGAATATGAAGGGAAAAAAAAGAGAAGAAAATGGAATCTGTGTTTGGAATGAGTGTTAGTGAGAGTAAGGATAGCGTGAGAAGAAAGCGAATTGATGAAGGAAGGGAGAAGAATCCATGGTAGGCTAGTAGGAATTAATTAATTTGGGTAATATAATGTTGCTCTGAAGTTGCTATGATTAATACAATACTAGTATAGTATTATGACTTAGGACATTGAATTGAATGTTTGTAATATGTTGTGGAGTAATAATATTGAATTGATTGAATAAGAGAGGGAGGGGAAGATGAGGGAGGAGTGATGAGATGAGGGAGTGGTGTGCAGTGGCAGGGAGTGGTGCAGAGAGACAGCTTTTCCTTTCCAGCTTTGCAATTGCCTTTTCCACCACTGATCGAGTATCTGAAACGCACTGCACGGTTCTAAACTTATTAGTACTTTCATTATTAATTAATTGATGTTGTTATTAGTATCATTTGAAATAATCTCTTACCTAAAGTGTGGTGGCAAAATTAATTACTTTTTTCTAAAAAATTGCTTGGATTTGGAAGGAGTTGAATTTTCCAATAAATAAATATTGAGAAAAAAGATATGCATTAAGAATATAAAATAATTTTATACTCATTATTATATATTCTGCCAAATATTTTTAAATTAGTTTTGATTGCAACTTTAATCTTAGTATTTAAATTCGTTTAGATTTTAATCTTCCATTTAAAAAATACTATCTTTTTTTGTGTTAGAGTTTAATCCATAAAAAAGAGAGAAAAAAATAAAAGAATTAAAATTACAATTAATTAGTGTTTTAAAATTTGAATCATTCTAGTGTGGGCGAACTGCTTAGATTGTGAATAGGAGGATAGAGCAGTTTGATAAGATTATCGGACTATAATTGCAATTGGTGTAATAAAAATTGCTGTGATTCAGCAGATTTCCTGGTCAAACTATTATCAATGAATTTTTTGATTCGATGGTCGATCTTTTTATGATTACTTTTTATCATAATTAAAATTTTAATCTTTTTATTTTTATTTTTCTTAAACTTTGATGTCGTTGTTTTAAAATTTTATTTTATTATCTAAAGTTTTGAAGAAAAAAAACTTATTCTTCAACTTATTTATAATAATATTACAAAAGAAAAATTATATTATATTAATAATTAACAAAAGTTTTGAATCATGTTATAAAAGAAAAATGAAGTTATATTTTTATATTATTTATAATATAATTTTTAAAAAAATATATTATAATACACAAGAAAATGGAATAAAATTTTTATATTATTTTATATATAAATAAATTTCATTATTATTTTTAAATAAAAATTACATTATTTTTTTTAACTTTTTTATTTATAAATATCATTATTATTTTAAACTAAAGTAAATTTTTCATTTATAGATTTTTATTTTTTACTCTATCTTTTATTTTTATTTTTTTTATATAGAGTATAATATTTATTTAATTTTCATATTAGTTTATTAATTTATAGTAGTATTATATTATACAATTATTTTTCTTACCTTTGTTAATTTATAAGCATTAATAAATTGTTAGCGTTTGAAATTTGGAATTTTATTTTAAATTGTTATTCAATTTATTTGCATGAATAAATTTAAAAAAAATTTTCATATATTTTATAGTTATTGTTCTGGACTGGATCGGGGTCTGCCCTTCAGCCGGGTAGGTCAAATTCAAGGTTATGCTGATGAGGCCCAACAAGGCTCAATTTCTTCTGTCGGACAGGAGCCTCGACAAGGCTCACCAGTCGGGCAGAAGACGCTCCTGACGGAGAAGCCCACGTGCTTCCCCCCACATTATCCACAAGTCCCCCACACGGGAACATGTTATCAGGCAACTACCCACTTTCGAAAGAGATGGTCAGTCCACCTTCCGAAGATCACGGGACAGTTGATCCAGGGCGAAGACCACGTGCTGGTCTTCACTACTCCACGTAAGCCCTGGCAGTTACTTGTGTTGGGCTTGGCAATCTGGCCCAATGCAATGTAACCGTTGGTCCTGCGCTGGGGGCACATTATAAATACAATATTTCACTATAGGGTCAGGTATTCTATTCTCCACACCTTCTCTCTGGACTTGCTCTCTCTAGTTCCGGTACTCACTTAGGCATAAGAGCATTTTGCAGCTACACCCCCTCTCTCCTCGAAAACTCTGGTGAAGGTATCAAATCACTACGCGTGGTAGGTCACTGATTCTTTTCTGATCAGGTGAGATCACTGGCGTCGTATGTGGGAACCTCTGCTTCCCCATTCTTTCTCCTGTCTGAGCACAAAAGCTCAAGAACCAAAGTGTTTGTTAACCTTCAACTTCCATTCCAATCATGGCCAGCCCGCGCAACAACAATGCTTCTGGATCTGCCTTTGCCCCCTTCTCCAACAGGGACGGCCACGACCCTAACACGGTCGTCCGCGGTAAAAAAGGTGACCACAGGGACGGGTGCACTGCCTCTCCCTCCTTAGAAGACGCGACCTACAACGTCGTCCAACGCTTAGATAGCCCGACTGTCTACCAGCCCATCTCGGTCCCAGCTGGTGCCAATCCTATCGTGGTGGCTCTGTTTGCAGCGATCAACCAAACTAACTTGATGATATTCGGGCAGAACAAACGTATATGGATGCTCGAAAGGGAACGGCCATTACGCTAATCCCCGCGGATACATCATCGCCCAGTTTCCCTCGGTCCGTCCCCTCCCACGCGGAGACGCCAGCGCCCAATTTCCATCAGCCCGTCTCCTCGCCCGCGGAGGACGTGGTTTGTCGAGGGGTCATAGAGTCCCTCTCCCCTGCCGACGGAGAGCCGCCCTCGTTTGGAGCAACCTCAAAAGCCGGTTTCCCACAAACGAGACAGGTCGCCTCCCCGAAAAGATCGACGTTCCCCGACTCAGAAGAAGAAAGCCGCTAGGGGCCCCTCCAGGCCAAGAGCTCGGCCGAGGAGTCCCCCACGTAGAAATCAAAACCACCAGGAGTCATCGTCCCCCTCATTGTCTCCCATCAGGAGTGACGAGGACATCCAGCACTCACCGCTATGCAGAGCCATCAGGAAGGCCCCGCTGTCCGTCGGAATGGAAAACTCCCGATCTTGGCCACGTACGATGGCACGATGGACTCGGACGACCATATCAAAAATATAGATGCTATGCTCGACTACTGGAATGTCCGAGGAACCATCAAGTGCAGGTTGTTCCCCACCACCCTGAGGAAGGGAGTCATGGTGTGGTACAAATGCCTTACGCCCGATTCCATTACCTTCTGGGGCAAACTGAAGCGGCAGTTCTCCAGGCACTTCACACCTTTTCGCCGCCATCCGAAGACAGAAGCGGCCCTAGAAGTCATTATTCAGGGGAGGAACGAGCCTCACCAAGATTACATAGAGAGGTTCAATTATGAATCCTCCCAAGTGTCCACCACGGACGATATGAAGAATTTCTTGATATAGAGAGGCATACGACCACACTCTGACTTCGCCAAAGCCGTGGGGATCGCACGTCCCCGTACCTTGAATTCCCTCATTCACAAGGCTCAAATCGTACATCGAGTATGAGGAGATAGAGGCCGCCAACACTACCATGGATAGAAGGAACCAGGAAGGCTTCAGAGGCGCCAGGCACGAGGAAGCCCCTCCGCCTCGACGCAACGAGCAAAAGAGGCGTGAGGATCAACCCCACAAACAGAAAGGACCAGCGGACCGATTCACCGAGTACACGCTAATCACAGCTCCCTGCAAGCGCATCCTGGCCTAATGCATCAATTCGGAATTTCAGAAGGACGACGTCCGGTTCTCGAAACCGACACCCCCGAAGCCCAACGTGGACAAATCCAAGTATTGCCAATTCCACCGGGACCACGGGCACGTCACAGAAGATTGCATGCACCTCAAATATGAAATCGGGATCTTAATTAAAGAGGGGCATCTGAAATAGTATACTCGGAGGGGTGACAATCCCCGACCTGGACCCGCGAGGCCAATCGGGTCTAGGAAGTGTCAATTTCCTCTGACGAAACAGGACTGTAGGCGGCTCTGTGCGTCTCCCGACCAGAAGATTTCCTCCTCTTTAGCGAGTCCGCCAAACTACTGAACGCCCACAGTCCTTGGGAAGATTTTCCCACCGCATTGGTGATATCCGGGGGGGGGACCCAGCAAGCTGTCGGTCGGGTCGGTCAAGAGGAAGTTCGAGGAACTCATCGACAAAAGCTCGAAGATGAACGCTACCTTCAACAGGTTCAAAGGGAAATCAAACCCGATCACCTTTTACCTTGAGGAACTTCCAGCATCCCCCTCCTGATCAGAGCTCAGATGGAGAACTTTGATGTCCGTCGAATCCTGGTCGACCAAGGCAGTTCAGTGGACATAATGCACCCCCACCTGTTCACGACCCTGTAGCTCGACGAGAGCCACTTGACTACATATATGGGCTCCGACCTCCAAGGATTCAACGACATTACCACTAAGCCTTAGGGATATGTAGAACTGCTGGTCACCTTCGGGGCCGAGGAGACAACCCGACAGGTGAAAGTCCGTTTTTTGGTAATTGAGTGCCCCTTCTTGTACCAGTGCATTCTGGGACGGCCAATATTGGTCGAACTAACTGTGGTACCATCGACAATCCTCCTGAAAATGAAGTATTATACAACCAGAGGGCGGGTAGTCACCCTTCATAGGGACATAGAGGCAGCCAGAAGATGCTTCGAGGCGGCGCTCAAAGGACTTAACTCCATCAACGTCCCCCCAAACCGCCCAGCAGACCAACCCAAACGGAGGAGCCGAAGCCCCTCCCGCACGTCAACTTTGTCGACCTCGACAACCGTTTCCCCAGTATGCAGGGACAAAGTGA